ATCTAAACATTCGCATTTATAATATTAGTAAGACTTTTCATTAAAAAATATGGTAGCCTATGTGTTCCAGACTATGTTCTATATGTATGCCAAATTTCATCAAGATCCATTCAACCGTACAAGATATACCTTCAAACAAACATCCATCTATCCATCTAAACATTCGCATTTATAATATTAGTAAGACTATTCCCAAATTTTTAATAGGTCTATATGAATAAAATTGGTACGTACGTAATATCGAGCAAATGTATAGTTCATATACAATGTATTTACGTAGATGATATGGGAAAACCAATGTGTTTTAAATTTTTTCCTGTCTGTATTCCGCGTTTGTACCAAGCAATCTGCAGAACGGCTGGGCCGATTTTGATGAGACTTGTAAAGAAAGGTAGGTTATGCACGAGGGCATAATAAGACTAATTTTTTTAATTATGTGCTTACGAAGCCGTTTCTCGAGATTAGTCAAAACAAACGCGGACTAACGGACAGACATACATACAGACAAAAAAGTAAGTACATTAGGTAGGTATATTTATTAGCAACGCGAATATATTACGTGTATAAGAAATCTATTTTTTTCTCTGTATTACATACAGACACTTCGATTTTATCAATCTAGTTCGTTTGAAATTGTAATGTTTGCTTACCCTCTTAACGTATTTATAAAATTCTAAATTCAAATTTTCAAACTGCATTCTTAGAAAACGGTTATAACAACATTGCGGAAAGCGCGCGAAGAATATTTATTATTCAGCCAGTAATACTTTTTTCTTTTTAATCTATTTTTAAAAACAAAAATATACAGTTACATACTTGCCAGTAACATTTCAAAATGAAACCACTCTAGATACGATTCTTGGTTTATTATCTCACTAGCTGTCGCCCGCGATTCCGTCTGCGTGAAATTAAAAACTAACACAATTATTAGCCTATGTGTTCTTCCAGACTATGTTCTATATGTATGCCAAATTTCATTAAGATCCGTTCAACCGTTCTGGAGATACCTTTAAACAAACATCCATCCATCTAAACATTCGCATTTATAATATTAGTAAGACTAGTTATATTATAAACTAACAGGAAATTGCGAATTAAGGATACTAAGTTTTTTTGTCATTTAAGCAAAGCACATACAGACCTGGTTACTAATATTATAAATGCGAATCTTTTGATGGATGGATCGATGTGTGAAGATATCTCGATAACGGGTGCATGGATCTCTTTGAAATTTGGCATAGATATAGAACATAGTGTGGAAGAGCACATAGTCTATTGATGTTAAGTACAAAATCCGATACTGTGCCGGTGTACTGGCGCAATAACCTTACTAAAATGTCGTCGTTTATGTCCCCTCACTAATCATTCTCACACTTGATTTGGTAATAAAATCGCGCTATTTGAGCCAAAGGCTTCTTACTAATAATGTCTAAAACTAATTAAGTTTTTTTTAATTCACCTCGAACGAAGTCACGGGCGACAGCTAGTATAATTGTTTTCCAACTAGAACTTCATAATTATACGTTAAAACAAAACATATTATCATTCGCTCGATACAAAATTATCTATAAAAATAAATTGCTTTATCGATAACCTATAACATCACTAGCGGAAACAAAATCGATATACTGTTTTCGTGAGAGCACAGCACTAAAATTAATTGACACATATTATAGTGCGACCAATGAACATGGCCCGGTAACGCGCTATGAATTGTTATTACCTATTTCAGAAACACATACACAAGTCATGTTTGTAACCCAGAGGGGTAGACAGAGACCACGCACCTCCATTTGGTGTGGCGAACTGCATGACAATACGACAAGTTCCTTGTCCCATGTAATTTTTTATGCCATTTTATAAACTTACTAGCTGTTGTCCGCGACTCCGTCCGCGCGGATTTAAAAACAATCTTAATAAGTCTATGTGTTCTTCCAAACTATGTTCTATATGTATGCTAAATTTCAGCAAGATCCATACAGCCGTTCTGAAGATATCTTCAAACATACATCCATCTAAACATTCGCATTTATAATATTAGTAAGATATGTATTTACTGTTACCAAACGTGATAAAACGCTTCTCATCGATCAAATGTGGTTAAACAAAATGCATTCACTACAAAGCGAATCCATAACCAACTTCAAAAATGTATAGAACTAACAACTTTGGATAAGTCACGTGATTGTCGTCAGTTCCATACATTTTGGAAGTTCGCTATGGAATGGCTTCGGAGCGAATACACTATGTCTAACCACGCAGATAATTGTTAACTATACCGGGTCACAAAAGTGTGTCGTACTATACATTTTATCAGAAATCGATGTTATCTTTACGAATGAAATATTTAAATAATTAAAAAGTTATCACAGATTATCTATATATCTTAATAACAAATAGAGAAAGCGGAAAATATTATTATATGTAGCTGTCGCCCGCGACTCCGTCCGCGTGAAATGTAAAAAAAACTTAATTAGTTCCTGGCAATTACTGGAATTTTTCTCAACTTTTAAAGCTTAGGCCTCCACGAACATTTGAAGACCACGATAAGATAAATCAGTTCAGCCGTTCTCGAGTTTTAGCGAGACTGACGAACAGCAATTTATTTTTATATAATACTAGCGGGCCCGACAGACGTTGTCCTGTCTACACGTCTTTAATTTGAATAAATTAATATGAAGTTAATATTTGATGAAAATTGTGAATCTAAACCATTCCCAGATCCCCTTGAACACACACAAAAAATTTCATCAAAATCGGTCCAGTCCTTTGAGAGAAGTTCAGTGACATACACACTCACAGAAGAATTATATATATAAAGATATATAGATTTACACATAACGTAAGTCTTTACAACTAAATTATAATTTAAAACTTATCCATATCAAATAAACAATCATTGAAAAAACTCAAAAACTAATTGTCGAATTTTAACAATATTTTCTAAGTGTCGTTAGAAGTATCTACATTAACACACTATGCCGACATATGACACTACGCCGGTGTACTGGCACAACACTAGCCTTATTAAAATGTCGACGTCTATGTTCCCTCACTAATCATTCTGACACTTGACTTGGTAACAAAAGCGCGCCATTCGCGCCAAATGATTCTAACTAATGTCGGCAAAACCGCGGGCCTAATCAAAATTTTATCATAGAACAAAATCTTGTTAATTAAACATTATATCTAACAAAAATAAATTAGGCAGCGATTATACAGACGATTGCTAAAATACGATTGATCTTGTTCCGATATTAATGTTTGTAAGCCCCCTGTAAGTTTTATGACAAAGGATTGTTTTACAAAAAGGTGTAGATTATGAAACAAAAACTATGTTTAAATATTAAAAAAATCTATCAAAAACTTTTAGAGATATTTGAATAAATGAAATAATGACATTCCAGGACACCTGTATAATGTAAATATACTAAATTCTTACGCATATCCTCTTTTACATGACATAATTTTTGATCATCCGTTATAGCATGTAATAAAAATTCAAAAAAACTAACCTTAATAAGTTGTTCTTCCAACGCCATTTTTCTTTGTCAAATACACGTAAAGTACACTATTTTATTTCACAAAAATACAAAATTATTAACTAATTCACATTTACATAAACATTTCTAATATTTAAATTGATTTAGTCAACGATTTTAAGTCAAATCTTATTAATATTTTTTATATTTAGTTTTTACAATTTAACAACACACATGACCATGGACGGATCTATTAAGAACTAAATTCGATATTTCGTTTCTCAAAAAAATTGGAAAAGTACCCTTCTTTTTTTAAAATGATTTATTTTTTCCAATTTACACAAAAAATATCCTACAATTTGCGTGGAACGGAATTTAAAATCTAAAATAAAAGATTAAAAAGTAATAAATAAAAACATCAATACATTCACATATTTGTAATATGAGAAAGCAGATTATATGCACAAAACGTATACTTTGGCGTCCATATAGCTATCTCATTTTTTTGAAAGAGAAGGAAAGGGATAATTGTTTTGACAAAAGAAACTCGCAAGACAATCTGCCGGTGTAGACTTCAAATGTTTTGATGATTTAAGTTATGATAAATGAGTTTTAAACCGCGATTGTGCATATAACGATGTGTTTCTGTGATCTATTTTTAATCCTCTTTCACTTCGGAAATGGATTTGATAGAAGAGTGGACGAAAAAGGGGAAATATTCTCTTCCCGTGCATCTTCACCGTCGATTAAAGGTAGGCAACGCTATACAGATAGCATTCGCTTTAATATTTCGGCGAATTAAGGTAGCTGCTTGCTAGCTTATCATTTTATGATATTAAAAACTAACTGTAGCCAACGACTACGTCCGCACAGAATTACAAACATACTAAATATGCATAAAAAATTCATAAAAAATCTATCAAGCCGTTTTGGAGAAGTATGGTATCAAACATTGTGACACGAGAATTTAATACTAGTCGTCGCACGCGACTTCGTCCGGTTGAAATTAAAACACTTAATCCAGACTATGTTCTACATGTGTGCTAAATTTCATCAAGATCCCTTCAGCCGTTCTAGAGATACCTTCAAAACATTCGCATTTATAATATTAGTAAGATGTACTATGCTTTAATTTCTTAGTATTTCTACTGTAATTATAATCAAAACCATATTAAAGATCATAACTTTTGTAAGAAATCATATTTTTTAACACCAAAATACCTGGTGCTGGAATTATTAACCTATGCAACCGCGTGGTGTGATCTTTGTAAACTAATTTAAATATAATAAAACATAAGCTAAATTAAACCTTAACGCAAGCGAATAAGTAATAAGTAGGAGTATATTTAAATTTGTCGTTACATATACCATCGACAATTTTAAATACTTATATGTTAAGCAATAATAATCCTTATGCAGTAAAAAATAAGGTGGACATTAAGTGCATATTGTGTTATTGGCAGTAACTCACCGGTCATTTCGATGCAAGTACAACTTCAGTATCGGGCAAAAGCCCAACTCGGACGGATGTGTAATGTGTTTAGTGACTGTACGCTCCCGCCAAAAACTTACGAACAAGTTCAACCAGTTTTGTTTTAACACAAATTATATGATTTTTTTTAATTAAAAGTGAAAATTCTTGCAGTTGATTTAATGTGAAGTTTTTTTTTGTGAAATTATCGTTTCGCGACTGTAATTATACGTTTTTGGGTGAATTTAGAATGCAAAGATATTTTGTAACAAATACAATTTAAATTGGATTCTGGAAAGGTATTGTATTGAGTTTATAAAATTTTATTCTATTTAATAAGTTTTTTTCTTTTTTATATTTTTAATTATTAAAAACTTATATAAAAACGGCTAAAGCACTCTTAAACATAATTAAAAAAGTAAAAAGTTAGGTTATATTTTCTTAAGTGTGCCAAAATTTTCGATATGCGAAATCTTAATGAAAGTTGAGCTTTTCAAACTCTATCAAATAAAGAATTAGTCAAAATCAATGGAAATAAGAAAATATAATTAATCAGTCAAAACTAAATTACACCAAACTAGCGCCTTCTTGCGTAATCTGGAAGAACACATAGGCTACAAATTAAGTTTCGATTTAATTTCGCGCGGACGGCATCGCGGGCGACAGCTAGTCTTATCTTACTAATCTTCTTACTAATTATAAATGCGAAAGTTTAGATGGATGAATGATTGAAGGTATCTCCACAACAGCTGCATAGATTTCGCTGAAATTTGGCATAGACGTAGAACATAGTGTGGAAGAACACATAGGCTACTAATTAAGTTTGTTTTTAATTCCGCACGGACGGTACCGCGGGCGACAGCTAATATTACATAATTCTGAGAAGGCCTTTCTTAATTTCAATTTGAAAACAAATAAATCATTTGTTCGTATGATCTTACTAATTACAAAATAAATAATCTGTGGGAATGGTACTGGGCACTTATAAAAAATAAACATGGGCGGTTAGAGTTATAGGTTATGTTATTTTTGAGCCGCAATATTTTTAATTTTATTTTTTATATCATAAAGTGGCAAACGAGCGAGCGGCTATCTGAAATCGCTGTAAAAGCGAAGTGACCATTGCCCAAGACATACGCAATTGCATATGCGTTGTCTACCTTTATTTCAAACTTTAGTAAAAGTTATTTTATAGTTACGTGTGATGAATTCAAATACTATCATCCGTGTCTATTACGTTCCAGACTATGTTCTATATGTATGTCAAATTTCATTAAAATTAGTTGAGCCGTTCCGGAGATACCTTCAAACAAACATCCATCTAAACATTCGCATCTATAATATTAGTAAGATATTGATTTTTTATTTATTCTAATTACAGCGTGTGATTTATTCGTATACTAGCTGTCGCACGTGAATCCGTCTGCGCGGAATTAAAAAAAACTTAAGTAGTAGCCTATGTGTACTTCCAGACTATGTTCTATATGTATGTCAAATTTCATTGAAATTTGTTGAGCCCTTCTGTAGATACCTTCATACATCCATCCATACAAACATTCGTATCTATACTAATATTATAAAACAGAAGAGTTTGTTTAAACGCGGTAATCTCAGGAACCAGAAATCAGTCCATTTATAGAGGAAGGCTTTAGGCTATATAGCAATATGGTGCGACCAATTGTTTTTTGAATATCGCGCGGACGGAGTCGCGGGCGACAGCTATAATCTTAGTAAGATATACCTTTTTTTATTAAAAGTTTTAAGGCATATATGCAGGTTAAGTCTACTCTTACAAACTTCCGCAATATACGTAAAAATTAGAATAAATATTTCAACGGAGTACTCTGTGAATTAAAATGTTTAGACAATGGAATCCTTTAATAGGTCTTGTTGATAAGTTGTTTGGAGTAGTCAAGGAATTAAATTACATACCCACCTTGGGGTAGTATTTAACATCTTTCTGTTTTCTTTGACGAGTTTTAGACATATTTTAGGGCTAATTAAAGAAAAAAGACAGTTGATGTTTCATCAAAATTCAACACAATAATAATGGACATAAAATATTATTTATTTTTTTTTATTTTTAAATTTCGAATTGAGAATTGCTTAAGTTTTTAAATTTCGATTAAATATTTATTGATGTTTCATCTTCCCTTTCCTTTTTAAACACTATCGATGTTATAAAAAATCGTAATAAAATCGATTTTTAATAATAAATTTTCATATGTTTCAATTCCAAATCGATTTATAACTTTAATCGATGTTTTATGTCACATCATAATTATATATTAAATTGACTCTACCTTACATTTCCATACTTCTCTATTATCCGTTATATTTGAATACACTCCCTTATCCTCTTTTTCCATACTACATGCAATTAAAAACATAATATTAATTATCTGTGTTGCGTCAATGGCGCGAAATGTCAGATGCCGGTGGGATATGTCAAGTGGTATTCACTTGACATTGAAATTAAAATAATTGGCGCCAATTTCGTTCGGTAACAGCTGTCAGTGATTTGTATAGATAATAAAATGATGAGATTTATCGATGGTTTTATTTTTAGATATGCAATAAAATTGTTTTTTATAAATAAATAAAGACCATCAAAGTTATCAGATCCAGTGGGCAATTGACTTAAAAACATCGATAAAAGTGAATCGATTCGGACTTCAAGCGTATATGAATCGAATTCAGTTATAAAAATCGATTTAAACAAAAAGTGTTCGATGATTCAATATTCAAGATTGACATGATTAAAATAAATTATGTATTCGAAATTAAAAAAAAAGAATTGTGCAGTTCTAAATTCAAAAAAGTTTATTATTTTAAGGTCGCCGTTATGTTATGTTGTTTGATTTTGATATTGTTAAATGTGATTTATTAACACGTTGAGCGCCACACGTATTTCTTAATCCCGTTCAGGCCACGAGCGCTGCTTATAAGCACTGGTATACATATACCTAAGCAATAGTATACATTTTTAATGCAAAATAGTGTAAAATTTTATAGTTCTCATGTCACACGCTGTCAGCCACCCATGGTTGACGCGGCCTAAACAGAAAGTCTAGTGTCAGCCACCGATGGCTGACGTGGCGCTCAACGTGTTAAAATAATCCATTTTTCATATTATAAATGCGAATATTTAGATGGATGGATGTTTGTTAAAAGGTATCGCTGAACGGATCTTGATGAAGTTTAAAATAGATGGAGAACATATTCTTGAAGAACACATAGGTTACTAATTAAGTTTGTTTTTAATTCCGTGCGGACGAAGTCGCGGGCGATAGCTAGTAGTTATTCATTACTCGCTACTCGACTAAAACACTAGTCTGTAGTCAACCTTAACCGCGATAGTAGCGCCCCTCACCGCTCCAAATAAGTTAAGCACACTATCTTACTAAGATAAATGCGAATGTTTAGATGTTTGTTAGAAGGTATCTCCAGAACAGCTGAACAAATCTCGATGTAATTTGGCATACATATAGAACATAGTCTAGAAATATACGTAGGCTATTATTTTTTTTAATTTCGCTTACTGATTGATAGTTATGTTAAAATTAGTCTAAACCCTTATTAGCCTAGAGTTTCAATTTTGATACCAATTTTTTAAACGGAATGTTCACATTACTGTTAGTTTTTTCATAGGTTGGCTGTACCTATTTTACTGTTGTATAATATTCTTTCTAACGAAATTAAAAAAAAATCATTATTGTTTTATTTTATCAAGCAAACACAGTAATCTTTATATATATAATTCTTCTGTGAGTGTGTATGTCACTGAACTTCTCTCAAACGACTGGAGCGATTTTGATGAAATTTTTTGTGTGTGTTCAAGGGGATCTGGGAATGGTTTAGGTTCACAATTTTGTCCGCTGGACAATGTTTTTTTAATAAATTTTTAATTTTTTGATTTTGGTATGTTTCACATTGGATCCGACAGACGGCGCTACCATCGCAGTGTCAAATTTTAAATAATATTCGAATTAAAGACGTGTAGACAGGACAACGTCTGTCGGGTCCGCTAGTATTAAATATGAATCACTTTCGTATGTAAATCAGGCTACTAAGGGTTAAATATTAAGGGTTGTAGTTTACACGTGTTGAATGAATATTAATTAATTTCAGTACTAATAACCTTAACCGATTTTATATACATTAGGAAATTTGAATAAGAATGAATACAATAATGAAGTTTCGAAATAAATAAATTATACGTTTGTCTATTGACCTAGTTTTGAACGTAGTACTATTACGTCTCTAGTTGTTCCCGTACGACTCAATACATATGAAATTCTATTCATTATTCCACATCATCATCAGCTCACTATACGTCCCCACTGAGGTTCGGAGCCTACCCTAAGTTAAGGGTGATTAGGTCTAGTGGGGTTGCGGCCGAAAGCAAAAGCGTGTCCGTGACCTCGCCATCATGCGTAGGAGTAACAGAGGTTTAGTGGGTATGCTTCCCATTTGCAAGAGAATCCCGTGGCTACCGTACCCACCCCCCCAGGGCACTGATTAGGCCAAGTGCGGGTTGACTTCACACATATGTTTGAATTTCTTCTCAGATATGTGCAGCATCACGATGTTTCAACGTAAGAACGTCGGATAAATGTACATATGTAAATTGTAAAACGAAAAACACATTAGTGCATGGCTGGGTTCGAACCCAGGACCTTTCTTCTTCCTTCATTATTACACAGAAAAACTTTATTTTATTGTTTACAGATGTAAAATAACTTAATAAGTAGTCTATGTGTTCTTCTAGACTATGTTCTATATGTATGCCAAATTTCAGCGAAATCTGTTCAACTATTATACCTTCAAACATCAATCCATTTAAACATTCATATTTATAATATTAATAAGATATGTAGAGCGTCGGTGGCTCAGAGGTAAAACACTTGACTTGTCTATAGGTCCTGAGTTCAAATCCCGCCATGCACCAATGTGTTTTTTACATACATATGTACATTTATCTTCCAATGAAGGAAAATATCATGATGATGCATATCTGTGAAGGAATTCAAAGATATGTGAAGTCACTGGGTCAGCATTGACTATGACCTAGTTAACTTTGGGTAGGCTCCGAGCTTAGTGGTGATGTATAGTGAGCTGATGGTAGGATAGATGAGCGTCTTATTGCATATTTTTAGCTGACTACAAAAAGAAGAAGGTTATTAATTCGTTTGTATGTTTTTTTATGCAGTACCGCGTAACCCAGCATCTGGCTTCCTATTTTGAAAATATTTTTTTATGTCTGTATCTTCAGGCGCCTAGAATCGGGCCGTCGATTTGTGGTACGATAACTTTAACTCTAACTATTGAATCACGCGACGTTACGTCACAGAATAACGGTGTATGTACAGTCAAGTACAAACTGATTACACGTACAGTTCCATACAAAAGTGTTTTAAAATAAACATACTAATATTATAAATAATATTAGGTATCTCCAGAACGGCTGCATAGATCTTGATGATATTTAGTATAAACTAGCGGTCGCCCGCGACTCCGTCCACGCGCAATTATAAAAACATAAGTAGCCTATGAGTTCTTCCAGACTATGTTCTATATGGTAAAATCGATATCCGTGCAGCCGTCCATTCAAACATTCGCATTTATAATATTAGTAACTTGATTAGTATGATATAGAACACATCTATTTTTTATTATTTCGTGGGTACAAAGTCGCGGGCGACAGCTAGTATGTATAAGGCAATTAATTCTTAGAGTTTCTTGTACGCATTCGGTTACATCAGCTTCCAAAATGGTAGCTGTTCGTAGAAATGCCACATCTAGACGCTCGCGATGTTGTTCATTGGTGTGTTGGGATATGTTTATTGTCCTATTGAGTCATGTATTCCTGGTACTTTTTGATACATTACTATCTCTCGCCCGCGATTCTGTCCGCGCGGAATTTAAAAAAAAACATAATTAGTAGCCTAAAGTGTGCGATAACGCCCCCTTGTGGGCGCTGTAGGTCTCAAGTTGCGGGTTATAGTAAAAGTTTCCTTTACAATTCTCCGTTAATATACATATATAGGTCACAATAATAAATTCATTTAATTTGAAGTTATAGTGGTTTTTAAAAATATGTGAAAATATGGGGGCGCTCGAAAAATATTTTTTCACATAGTGGGCTGTAGACAAAATATGTTGGGAAACACTGTTCTACATCTATGCCAAATTTCAGTAAGATCTATGCAGCTGTTCTAGATACCTTCCAACATCCATCCATCTAAATTTTCGCATTATTTAACTAGGCCATAGTCAATGCTGACCCAATGACTTCACACATATCCTTGAATTGCTTCACAGATATGTGCATCACGACGTTTTCCTTCACCATAACGTCGGGTACATACATATTTAAATCGAAAAACATTGGTACAAGGCAGGATTCGAACCCAGGAGCTGCACAAGTCAAGTGCTTTAACCCCTAAACCAGCGACGCTTAATCTTCTTACTAATATTATAAATACAAAGGTTTTTATGTATGTTTGTTAGAATCTCCAGAACGGCTGCATAACCATAAAAGGGATAGATGTAGAACATAGTGTGAACACGCAATTTTTTTTTCTAATTCAGTGTAGACGTACTCGCGGGTGTCATACGCGCGTACACAAGGAAAATTGTTTTGAGCAAACATGTTTTTAATAATAATATTAAATTACGACTTATGACATTGAACTAATAAACGATAAGATGCAATACAATAATCAGTTATAACGTCTATAAAGTATGGAATTAATTTTATATGAAGATTAATGTTGTACTTAAGTTGTCATAATTTCGGACCTCGACTCGATTGTTTTTAACAGTGGTAGAGCCTGCTTTAATATTCGCATCTTAGCACGACTTGTCTCGGCTCGCCCGGTGAAATACCACGACCACACAGAAGACACGACTCAAGTGGAAGAAATTCTACGTATACAGTCTGATGAGTGCGTCCCGGAGGCCTAATTTAGTGATCTTTCCTTTCCCACCTTTTATCTTATAAGGTAAGGATGCGAAGTGGAAGTGGACTTTCCGGATGAGAGGATGCATGGAAAGGGAAGATATATTCTTTCTGTGCATCCTCCCCTCCGTCGATTTAAGGTAGGCAACGCATATGCAATTGCGTATGTCTATGGGCAACGGTCACTTCGCTATTTCAGCGATTTCAAGTGGCCGCTCGCTTGTTTGCCATCTTTTGATATAAAAAAATACATAGCCAAATATCTGTAATTAATTAAAAAATTACTAAAAAAACCTAAGTTATATTACTTATTTGTTCGATTAATATTATAAGACCGATTCTCGATAGTTCATAGTTCGTTGTTCACGTACACTCCGATACTATGACAACCGTCCATTAAGTACAACATTTATCCTTAAACAAAATTAATTCTATCATATTCGTCTGTTCTCAAACTAAACTATCTTAAGACACAATATAATTTCTTTCTTGAGTTAACTGAGAGGTATTCTAGAAAGTTCTATGGAACAAAATTAATTTTTCTATATATAAAAATTGGGTAAAAATCACCTTGAAACATCCATCAAATTAGTTTACGTAGATAAGACATCACGCTTTGTTGACGTGTGCGATGTAATCAAATATACACCTAAAAACAATAGTCATAAGTTCTATAATTGCTTGCAGTGTTTAATTAATTATAATTTTAATTTCCATGTTTTAAATTAGTTAATTCAACGATTTACTGTTAGTTACTAAAACTAAAATCTTTGTATATCGTCAATCTTATCATTTATCTTTGACGAAACAGAGATAACAATGTTTTAAACAGTAGTAGTAGATTTTAGTATCAGAAACCCATGTTAAGTTGTATCATCATCAGCTCATTATACGTCCACACTGAGAGTCTCAGAGCCTACCCTAAGCTAAGGGTGATAAGGCCATAGTCAACCACGCTGTCCAAGTGCTGGTTGGTTGACTTCACGCATATCTTTGAATTTCTTCTCAGATATGTGCAGCATCACGATGTTTTCCTCCACCGTAACGTCGGATAAATGTACATATGTAAATCGGAAATCGAAAAACACATTAGTACTTTGGTAAGTTGTATACGGAGTTTGAATTCATATAATTTTATATAATAGTGATGTGTCACGATGTCGTTTACTTACTATTATTAACGATTTACGCGTTACTTTTTGATTAATGTGAACATTTCTTAAAATTTTATAGCTAGCGTTTGACCTTGACTTTGTCAAGCCTTTAATATTCTCGTGTCTATCAGCTACCTTCTCGTCAAAGTCCGGTCAAAATCGGTCCAACCGTTCCGGAGATAACCCAAAACAAACGCGATCTTGCAGACAGACGGACAAAAATTTTATAGAAACTTTATTCCATAGTAATTAATATAAACTTTCTTTCCACAGATTAAAAATGGAGTTGAAATCACCTAAAGCAAAGAAAAAGTCGTCTAAAATATCATGGAAGAAAATGTTCCGGTCTCCGATACTCTTGTTTCTCCTACTCGGTACATCAAGCTGTGACCATGAAGTGACAAGTGACATTAACGGAACTGTCAAATTTGACAGCTCGAATAGTACGAATTTGAGGCTAAGGCATATGCATATGCAGCCAGCTAACGTAACTTACGATAAACATGTTCTTAGTGATATTAAATATTTAAGACGTCATTTGAATAGGGAAATTATTAATTTTATTATGACAGACTATTTATTGGACGGTGAAGTGGAAATAAGAGTGCATTACAACGGAATAACCGCGAAGGAGACTTCAGTCGGCGTTAACGGGTGAGTTTTATTTAGCGCCATCTTTTGGTGAAATTTGGAAACTTTTATTATTGCTTAAAATATTTTTTTCATGTCTTATTAAAGTGGAACAGTCAATAATGTCTAAAAGAAAGATACATACGTAAATATATAATAATTTTTGTTTGAATGTTTTAAAATACGGTCACTAAATTCGCAGTAATAACTACAGGGGGTGTAACTCAGCGGTAGAGTGTCTGCTTCGCATGCTGAAAGTCCTGGGTTCAAATCCCAGCACCTCCATATATCTTTTTTTTAATTTTATGCTTATCTGCAATTTTTATAGTCAGTAATAGTATTTTTTAAATAATATAAACAAAAAAATATTAAGTTTTTTTTTATTTTAGATTTTTAAATCGAAATAAATTATAGCCTTCAGTTAAAATTACATACAGTTTGTCTCATTATCAGATTTTTATTTAAAATAACAAAACCCATAGAACAAAGAGGGATAGGCAGAAACCACGGAATTTAGTCTCGTCTTGGATCTAGAATACATATAAGAAAAGTTCGGATGCTTTTAATAATTCTTGAGTTTTATCTTATTAATATTATAAATACGAATTTTTAGATGGGATTGTCAGAATAACTTGGCATAGATGTAGAACATAGTCGGGTGAGAACACATAGCCTACTAATTAATTTTTTTTTAAATCCGCACGGACGAAGTCGGCCAGCGATAGCTAGTCTAATATTATAAATGCGAATGTTTAGATGGATGTTTGTTTGAAGATATCTCTTGTACGGCTGAATGGATCTTGATGAAATTTGGCATACATATAGAACATAGTCTGGAAGAAGACATAGGCTACTAATGTTTTTTTTTTTTAAATTCTACTCGGATTGACATTTCTACATAATCTAATTTATTATAAAAAAAATAATTATAAAGTATTTCTTTGAAATCCCGTTCAATTGCCTTACTTTCCTAAATTAAGTCTATTCTCGAATCATCCGTGTTCTGTCAATTAACGTTTAGGGATGCCATCTTGTAAACAAAAAGGTTCTTGACAGACAGACGGACGGACAACAAAGTGATTCTATAAGGGTTCCGTTTTTTTCCTATGAGGTAAGGAACCCTAAAAAGTCAAGTACCTAAAGTTAATTGGTGTTTTATCACTCAAACTGATCGATTAATCGTAGGTTTCTGATACCAAAATATCTTTATACTAGCTGTAGCCCGAGATTCCCTACGCGCGGTATTAAAAACTTAATAAGTACCCTATGTGTTCTTCCAGACTATGTTCTAAATCTATGCCAAATTTCAGCGGGTTCCGTTCAGTCGTTCTACAGATACCTTCAAATAAACATCCATCTATCCATCCATCTAAACATTCGAATTTATTATATTAGTAAGATATCGTCTTCTCTTTTCAATTTCTTTGACAAAACAGAGTTAACAATATGTTTTAAACGGGCATTTTGTTTTCAGAAACCCACAGTAAAGAACACAATTAGAAGTTACTAGTTGTCAGTGTCAATGTCCGCGTTACTGATCTTTAAAAATTAACAAACGTACTTCTGGCACATACTAAAATTTAAAAAAAAATGTTTCGTTATCGCAAATACATAACGGAATATGATTTTTATCTCTATGCATTTAATCGTTCGATTACTAATATTATAAATGCGCATGTTTAGATGGATGTTTGTTTGAAGGTATATCCAGAACAGCTGAACGGATCTCGATAAAATTTGTCATACATATAGAACATAGTCTGGAAGAACACATAGACTACTACTAATATTTTTTTAATACCATGCCGATTGAGTCGCGGGCGACAGCTAATTCATATTAGTAAGATTGTGGATTTCCATTGTCAAAATACTTCTAATTATCATTGTCATCCCTTTCTGATCTCATCTAAACAAAAGAGACAGCAATAAATTTCACATTTACTTGTGTCGTGTTAACCAAAGATGGCCGACTTTTGAAATGTCAACGCGTTTTGTACCGATTCACTTCTTGAGCATAGGCAATCAATTCGCAATTTAAAATTAACTACCCAAAAAAACATAACACGATCTTGGCACGGCGGCGAATGTGCTTCTTTTATAGTCTGTGCCTTTTATTTATTTAAATTAAACCTTATTTACATACAAATAAGTACTATACTAAATGCTTGACAGCGCTTGACTTTTGGTTTTTTTTAAATTCGAAAATAATACGCGTTTTTTAGATTTATGTCAAAGTCAAATTGTGTTCGCGCCAAAATGTTACTCGTATTGAATATTTTGACAGCTAGGACATTTTTTTTTACCAATTTAACTCCAAAACTGCTGCACAGATTTGTTTTAAATGTATAATAATGATTAAAGTCTGGAACATAAGTCCCGCGCAATTTTTTTTTTTCGTAGACGAAGTCTAAGGTCTAAGGCCTAAACCAAACAACTTTATAAAGACTAGCTTTTGCTCGCAACTTGCGGGCGGAATTAAAAAAAACAATTCTTTAATTCCAGTATTTTTTTTATATATTCGTTACATACGAAAATATCTTTCCTCTTTACAATCTTACTAGTATTGTACATACGAACATTTGGATGGATGTTTGTTTGAAGATATCTTCATAACGGCTGCATGGATTTCCCTGAAATTTGTCATAGATGTAGAACATAGTATGGAAGAATACATAGGCTACTATTTTATTAAATCCAACAAAGACGGAGCCGTGGGCGACAGTCAGTATTAGTATAGTTATATGAGTCAGGTTAGGTAAGTAAAAAAACGGTTTTCAACTTTATTAGTTGTAAGTTTTAATTATAGTACCTTTTTATTTATATTATCTTTTTAAATATTAAAAAGATAAGAATAAACCATATTATATCATACCATTCAGTGTTGCTACATTATAAATTTATAAAGACGCGTACGTTAAAATAACTTTTGATCTAGTTATAATTAACGGTTATTACCCGTTTACGCATAGTTTATGACAGCCGCTTTCTTATACGTTATTATAAAGAAAGTATATTTACTACGGGTTTCGTGTACCGGAAACAATTATGAAAATATGCTCGTATTTGTAGTTAAAGAATTTAATTTACTATCCGCTTAGGATCGAATTGTAATTGTCACCGTAAGATATAGAACCCAAGAAGTGTATGCATCATCAGCTCACTATAAGTGCACCACTAACTCGGAGTCGTTTTTATATCAAAAGGTGGCAAACGAGCTAGCGGCCATCTGAAATCGCTGAGATAGCGAAGTGACCATTGCCCATAGACATACGCAATTGCATATGCGTTGCCTACCATTTAATCGACGGAGGAGGGGATGCACAGAAAGATAATATTTTCCCTTTCAATCCATGCCCCATCGCTAAAGTCCACTTTCACTTCCCATCCTTTCTTTATAAGAAAAAGGGTGGGAAGGGAAAGAGGACTAAAATTAGGCTTCCGGGTCGCACACTCATCAGACTGTACTTGGAATTGCTTCCACTTGAGGCGTGTCTTCTGTGTAGTCGTGGTATTGCACCGGGCAAGCCGGGGAAATTCGTGCGAAGATGTTAAAGCGGGCTCTACCACTGTTACCAACACCACCCTAAGTTAGGTGACTAGGCCATAATGCTGGCCCAGTGAGTGACTTCACACATATCTTAGAACTTCTTTACAGATATGTACAGCAACACTATGTTTTCCTTTACCGTAACGTCGGATAAATGGGATTCGAGCCCAGGACCTACAGACAAGTGCCTAACCCTTGAGCCAGCGACGCTCCGAATGTTTGCGTATAACTCTTTTTCCACGTAAGTTAATGCGTGGGGTAGATCACCCTTGTTAGACACTTGCAATGAATTTTGTCTCCCCCTGTATCTTTCCTGGTGTCTGCCTTTCGAACTTATGATTTTGGATATATATGCATAGAAATAGATTCTACATGCTTTTATATGTCACCGAACAATTGTGAACACGGACAGTTTGTGAAACGACTAAGTATGGATGTTTTTAGAAAAGTCATATGTAATTGTTTAAATTAAACTTTAGTATAGTAAGTAAATGATTATCAAAAAGACAAAGAATTGTAACAAAATAAACCGAAATATATCTTACTATAATAATATTATAAATGCGAATGTTGAATGTGAATGCGAATGAAGAGCGTCGGTGGCTCAGTGGTCAAGCACTTGACTTGCAATCATGTACCAATGTGTTTTTCCATTTCCGATTTACATATATGTACATTTATCCGACGTTCTTACGGTGAAGGAAAACATCGTGATGCAACCTGCACATGTCTGAGAAGTTCAAAGATATGTGTGAAGTTGGCCAGCGTGGTTTGACTATGGCCTAATCACCCTACACGACGTATAGTGAGCTGATGATGACGAATGTTAAGATGGATGTTTGTTTGAAGGTATCTCCAGAACAGCTGAATGGATGTCGATGAAATTTGGCATACATATAGAACAAAGTCTGGAAGAACACATAGGCAATTATATCTTTTATAATTCCGCGCGGACGAAGTCGTGTCACAATGTTAGTTACTATCCTCCGAAACGGACCTTATGATATTTTATATGCATATTCAGTAGCTCTGAGAATCAACTACTATTAATCCCGGACAGAGTCGCAGGTGACAGCTAGTTTATAATATTCTTAGTTTTCAGCCAAAGAGAAACTACAAATGAAAAAAATTTATATTCCAAGAAATAGTCAAATTCGTGGATTGTCAAAACAATGCTTTGATGTTTTACGAAGTTACGAGTATAAAATTTTAATGACTATCTTTATTTATTCAAAAAGGATACTGTTACTAGATTTAGTGGTTTAAATAGGCTATTTGTAGTGTAGAATAGTAATTACTAAAATATAGTGATTCACAAACTTGTCTCGTAGACCAAATTCAAAAGTTATACTTATTTCCGAGATTTATTTCTTACTAGCTGTCGCTCGCGTGTCTCGTGGAATTAAAAAAAACTATTCGTCGCAGGCAAAAGACGCGCTGGACGAAGAAAGAAATCGTGGTTGCGAAATATCAAGGA